TGCAAAGGAAGTTTAAAACGGGTTTTTCGTGGAGTTGCTGAAAACAAACCGGAAACTTGTTACATCTTACTTTTTCCCATTAAAATTATTGTGAACCCAGTGGCATCACAACATTTAAAAGCTATTTCTCACCACTACCTTCATTCGATAAAGTTTAAAACAATTTAACCTAATTCTGATATCACATAAGTGCAAATAAAAATAATGCCAGTGAAATTAATGAAGCTCCATTATTGGGCTATATAAGAAGATGGAGAGGCTGTCTATGAACAAGGCATGAATCCTGTGACACAGCATGTGATCATGTAATTAAAGTCTGTATCATAATGCATATGAATAGATGAGTCAACTAAAGGTAGCACAGAGGCAACCGTCATTCTGGAATTTCCTAACTTGTGAATGCTTGACTTATTCTTTTGACTTAGCCTTGTATCTACTATATATTTGAGAGAGTTTGTCTGTCTATGCATCTGTCTGTTCAGGACCTCCTCCTAAATTATAAGAGCTAGGACCACCAAACTCAATATACAACTTCCTCCTACAATAATTTAAATCGAGGAAAGCATTTGGTTGTGCCAGGAAAAAAAGAGCTGTTCCTGGAATGGGATTGCTTCTCTTAAAACCATAGAGAAAAAAGACAGAATCACCAAGCAGGTGAAAGTGGCTGGCTGGGGGTGTGCACACCCCACCCCCAGTCCAGGACTTCCCAGCTCCAAACCTCCCACCACCCAGGTGCCCATTAGAAAGTGTAGGGAGGCTGAAGCTCCCCACCCCATCCGCAAATCATATGTGAACCTTGCTGGCTGTTCCCCTTCATCAGGTAGTGACAGGAAAGTGCAGTTTCATGCATTCTTCACTCTGGCTGGGGAGCAGGGCCATCCTGAAGTGAGCACAGGGTCTGGGGCAAATCCACCCATTCCCCAAGTCCTGCCCACCCCTGCTCCCTCCCCCAAGCAATGCAGCCCAAATGATTATGGGGGCCTGGCACGGCAGTAGCAGGAGCTCATTCTCCCCATTCACCACATGGGCACCTCTTGTCTGTAGGATTGTTGGGGTGGCCATTGTGAGGTCCCCAAAGCTTGGGGCCTGGACATCCACCACAATTCATCCTATGGATGAGATGGACCTGCTGGGGAGTGCAGGAGGCAGACGAACCTGGACCTGCCTGCCCCAGCCAGGGGACATACATCCCTCCCACAGCTGTGCCTGCTGCAACTGCAGCAAACAAACAAGCACTTCTCACCTGACCCCAAATGGCTGCGGTAAGAGAGGGATAGGAGTAGTCCTCTCTCCCCAGAGCAGCCTGCATACTGAAACTGCATACTTCTCCCCCACCCCTACCCTAGAGCAATGTTTCAAATGAAGCATGTACATTTTCATTTTATTTTCCAAGAAACAAAAATTGAGTTAAGGACTCAAGCAATGGCAGGTAAATCTTCTAGTGCTATATAAGGTGTGAGGATACTGTGCATTTGTGGGGATTCTGTGAGAAAGCTAAATCAATAAATGATTCTCTCCAGTTCCTTTCCTACCCCATTTGAGCTCTTACTGGCCTTTCTCCTACACAGTGTCTGTGTAATGGAAAAGAAGCAAGTGATGGAAGTCTGATAAATGGCTTTGCCAGTGGGAAGATGGTAGACCATTGTGGTGGGATACCGGGGAAAAGTTCTTTCCCACTTCCTTCTCTATCAGTGATTCTCTTCTGAAGAGAATATAAGCAACACTATACTTGCTTTCCTCTGCCCAGACCTGCAGTGCTCCTGCACCTCATCAGCCAGGAAAACAGATTGTTCTTGAAGAGACACACAAAAAGTGAAGCGATGCATTCCTTGTGTACTCAGAGAGAGAAGTGCTGCAGAATGACTAACAAAATGGATGATGCATCTTGTCATGACCACAAGCGTGAAATTTGATTGATGATAAGGATGTTAAAATGCGGAAAATCAGCTAATCGAGTAGTTGATGAAATTTCTATTGACTACTTGATTAAACAATAAGGAGGGGGCACTCGCTACCCCAGCTGTGGCTCTGCATTTTAAATGTAGTAGGAGCCAGGCTCCTATTACATTTAAATTGCAGAGCCGCAGTGGTGTTAGCTTCCTGGGGCGGCATGAGCTGGTACTAAGCAGTCTCCACACATGCCACCCCAGGAGCTAACCACTCTGAGGCTCTGCCTTTTAAATGTAGTAAAATTCACTTGGCTCTTACTACATTTAAAAGGCAAAGGTGCAGTGGGAAACCAGTCACGAGCCAAGAATCAGCTGATTCCCCTCTCGTACCTGGTCCCCCTCTGTGCCTCTGTTTCCCTTGCCCGCCACAGAGACTGTGCTAAGGAGAACCAACTTTTAAGCCAGCTGCCGCTGCACTGGCATCTGCTCCCCCCCCCCCCCCCTCGGGTAGTCAACTATTCGACTAATCGCTTACATCCCTAATTGATGGATATACAAATGGAGAAGAACAGAAGCTTTACTGTGATTACTGTAGATATTGTAAACATCGTGATTCCTGAGAATGCTGCCCAATACTTTTTATGAGATGCCACTTTTTTATTTAAGCTTCCTGAAAATGATACTTGATATCATAATGAAGATGGAAGAGTTTTACAATTTTCACTTCGGAATCTCTTCAGGTCTTTAAGTAATATCCCACGAATAACATTTTAGACTAGTTTCAGCTCGACAAACATAATAGTTCATCCCTGATTTTGGTAACATAATGTGAGTTTTTCTCTAGGAAGTGCTAAATATAAGAACATTGTGCCTCAGCTAAAGAAATCAATTTAAATTACAAGTAAAGTATAAAAATTAATTTAAACATGTTTTTACTGTAAAAATAAATACCAGCTTACATGTATTGACAAATACCAATGGGCTCCTCAGAGGCAGCCTACCAGTACCTGGGACAATCAATGATGCTTCAGATACTTTCCTTTTAATAGGCGTAGTAATCTTGAAATACATAAAGTAAACAAATCATTTTAATACCAAACCTTAGGAAACCATTCTTTTAACATTTCTTAAAGTTAGTCAATATTTTAACCATTAGCACCTCAATTTTTTTCATCCCGCATGGATGGCAATGTTTAAAGTTTTACTTCAATACTAAGCAAATAATGTACATAAAATGATGAGTTTTAATTAGCGTGTAATTTGTAACTGAGATTGGGAGTTGGGATTTTCTGAAGTAATTCGGCAAGTGCCAAATCTTCTTAATGCATAGCACAAGAAACTGGATGACTAGAAGGAGTTCCACTGGTGTTAGAATCCATCAAGTAGGCCATGATGCAGCGATAGAGCAACTCAATTGCTAGAGTTGTAACTTTAAGGTGCAGAACTATTGTATGGCATGATGACTAGTGAACCCAAGTAGTCAAAGATTCACAAATTCTGTTTCTGCCATGGCCTAGCTTAAAGTATCCCCTATGCACAGGAAGATCAGCATCGAGCTGTGTTTTGAGTACACAAGGAATGCAGATTCTCTTTACAGCTTTCTCACATTCTCAGAGGTGCACTCTGTGCATGGGTGTTTGTGTGCACAAGTATATGCGTGTGTGTGAAAAATCTGTCTCTAATGAAAAATGTTAATACTGACGGTTAACAGCAGGCAAACAAGGGATTAAAATATACTACGATCATCTACCACAAGGTACACAAATATATAAAAAATAAGAGAACATTTTAAAGATACTTCTCAGAGTTGCAAGGGGCCTATTTAAAAATAACATTTTAATTTTATTTAATTTTTAAACCAACAAGCTAAAAATTCAGAAATAGTTAACTTTCAATTATATAACTTAGTGATAATTAGTATTAAACATCAATGTTGGCATGAGAACAAATAGATATAAACTGACACCAGCAAATATAGGCTTGAAATTAGATGACCGTTTCTAACCATTAAGGAATGAAGTTAGCAATGGGGGACAAAAAAAAAAAAAACAAAAAAAAAAAAAACACTACACACTTAACTGATTTCAAGACTTAGCTTGATAAATTTATGAAGGTGCTGGTGTGATGAAGTTGCCTACAATGGTAATTCTGCAACTGCTAGTAGCAAATACTCTCAACAGCTGGAGATTGGACACTAGATGGGAAAGGCTCCAGAGCTGAAAATGGGCAAGTGCAGTGCACTTGCAAGAAATGGCTGCTAAGCCAGCCGCGCACAGCAGACTTTGGGCTCCCCTCCCCCATCAACCGCCCCCTTACAGCAGTGCTGCCGCAGCAGTGCTTCACTGCCCCCTTTGCCCAATGTTAAAGTGCCAGACTCTAACAGCAGGGCCACAAACGGGAGAGGTTTAAAGTAGAGTAAATTGAGGTGGATTCCCTTTAACTAAAATCCTTTAAATCATGATTTGAGGCTTTGTATAACAAAGCCAGAAGTTATGGGTCTATTATCTGAGTAGGTGGGTGACGTTCTCTGACAACTATGGGCAACCTAGGCTACCAAGTGGGCTGTATTAGTGACCTTCCTTTATGTCAGTGGACCACAAGATTGTCGTAACCAAGACTGTCTCCCAGGATGGGGTAGTTTTGCTAACTGTGCTTGCTTACCCAGAATTTGTGGGATGCAGAGTGAGCACACAGCTCTCACAGTCAATGTGTACAATCAGCACACACCTCACTTCAAATGCCCTTGCTCTATGTGTGTATCATTTAATAATACTGGTGGGAAAAAAATCTATGTGGACAAAAACTAGCAGAATCTGGCAATCCTGTGCATGGGCAACAGTTAAAAAAAAAAAAAAAAAAAGCCACACGTAGAACCCTAATGAACCGCATGCAGCCCCTGTGCTGGAGGTTGCCCACCACTGTTCTGACCTTAAAGTTTATGAACTGCAATGTAACTACAATATATTAGTCATTGCATTATAACCAATAATTTAATTTTTATTCAACTGTTTCTTTAACTATTTCTGTTTTGATAAACATACTTACCTTGGATTGGATATTTTTGCAGTTCTCTTCATTAGTTTTTTTATTCTGATTACTTTGTTGAACAGGAAGTTGTTCTTTTATAGACTTACTGGCTTTCCCTTCGATTCCTGATTTTTCTTTCAAGTAAGGTGACAATTGACTTTCTGGTACAAGAACCTACTCAGTATTTTGGGAAAAATGACATCCTATGTCATGTTTAATATACTATTTTAAAATAAATAATACACAATTCCACAAAATCTTAGATGAATTGTAGCTCTATTGACCTTAGACAGACTTTTCACATGCAGTATGATTAGACATTTGCAGGAGTTTGCAAGAACAAGCCCTAATACTGCTGGGTTCATCACAGCTTACAATCTTTTATGTAGGTCTCTGGTCCACCACTGCCACTTACCTCTCAGGACACATCTACACATCAGGGCTAAAGCTGAAACAAGCTACGCAACTTAAGTTACGCAATTGATTTAGCTCAAGTCAAAACAGCTTAATTTCGGCTTTTGGCGCTGTCTACACAGCAGGAAGTCTGAGAAAGAGCACTCTTCGTCCAACTTCCCTTATTCCTCATAAAATGAGGGTTACAGACTTCGGAGTAAGAAGTCCTCCAGATCAACATTATTTTGTCATTATGTCGAAATAACTGCTTGTAGTGTAGACGTGGACTATGTTATTTCAGAATAAGGTCAGTTATTCTGAAACAACAATGCTGTGTAGACGTACCCTGAGTGACTATCTTCCTACTTGGAAGGTGAGTATGGGATTTATATGAAATCTGGCAAAAAAAAATAGGTGAATGGAAAAATTCAGAATTATAGGAAGAAAATAGCCCTGTTGCAATGCAACCCGACCCAACTCCTGGTGGGCGCGGAGAGATAGCTGAGCCTGCAGCAGCAAGGCCTCATCCCAGTCCAACCCCCTGGAGGCCCAGGGGACAGAGCCAGGCCAGCCTTGCCTTGCCTTGGCTTGGCCCAACCCCCTGGTGGCCGGGGCGAGAGAGCCAGCCCTGCCAATCCCCAGTGGCTGAGAAGGAGAGAGCCAGGCCTTCCACAGCTAGGCCTCAGTCTGGCCTAACCTCCTGATGTCTGGGGGGAGAGAGAGCAAGAAAGAGAGAGCGCAAGCCAGACCTGCCGGGGCCAGGCCTCGGCCTGTTCCAACCCCCCCGGTGGCTGAAGGGAGAGAGCTGGGCCTGCCACAGCCAAGTCTCAGCCTGGCCCAACTCCCTGGTAGTCAGGGGTGAGAACTGGGACTGGTGAAGTCTGGGTAACGGGAAGAAAGACAGAGCTGATGCAGCCTCGGTCCTGCCCAGCGGCCAGAGAGCAGAGCCAGGGATGGCCCAGCACAACAGCTAGGGGGAGAGCCGGGGCTGGCCAGGGCTGCCATCCCTCAGCTTGGCCCTCCCCGGTGGATGGTGGGAGAGACAGGACTGCCTACCCTAACGAGAGGGAGGTTGGCGAGTGTAACGAGCAGGGTGTGCAGTCCCCTAGAGATACTATATATATTTTTGTTACTCTCAAAGGGTATGTCTACACTACCCCGCTAGTTCAAATTAGCGGGGTAATGTAGGCATACCGCACTTGCAAATGAAGCCCGGGATTTGAATTTCCCGGGCTTCATTTGCATAAGTGGGGAGCCGCCA